AGCTGGGGCATGTTTGCTCAAATCCACCTCTTCCAGCTTTCCTGTGCCTTTCTCAGTGGTGCTATGGTGTAAATCTGAGCTGGTTCCATAGTTTCATGTGCCTCACACCTTGTGGCAAATAGGAAGGGGTTTTTGTAGGATTTCAAGCTCACTGTGAGCACTGAGAGTCCTCTGAAGTTATTACCCTCATCCTGGCTCATTAAAGACAGGGAAGGCTGGTGCTTTCAGGAGGGATGGGCAATTGCAACTCCTGCTGGTGGCATGTCATCTGCTCCCCAAGGTGGAAGAAGCACCAGCAGCCTTTCAGGGTGCAGGAACTCGGGGTATCAGCCCTTGTGGCCCCAGGAGCCCTTGGCCTTATTTCCAGGAAAGAGTGGTGGAAGTTGTCAGTGGAACATATTCCTGTGCTGACAGACATCAGTGGCCACCTGCTGCCTTCCACAGCTGGATCATTGATCCCTGGAGGAGGAGGGTGAACGTTGGTGCCATTCCCAGCAGCAGCTGCAGAAATCTGCTGGTTGCACCAGGGATGAGTCCAGTCAGTGTGAGCTGAGGTCAGGGAGTCACAGAATGGTTTGAGTGGGAAGGGACATTAAAGACAATCTTCTTCCACCCCCAGCCATGGGCAGGGACACCTTCCACCAGCCCAGGTTGCTCCAAGCCCCGTCCAACCTGGCCTTGGACACTTCCAGGGATCCAGGGGCAGCCACAGCTTCTCTGGGCAACCTGTGCCAGGGCCTCGCCACCCTCACAGGAAGGAATTTATTCCCAATATCCCATCTAACCCTGCCCTCTGTCGTTTTGAAGCCACTCCCCCTTGTCCTGTCACTCGAGGCCCTTGTTCAAAGTCCCCTCAAGTCCCCTTTAGGTTCTGGAGATAAACCATAATTTAGCATCCTCAGAGGGAGGTTTGTAACACGGCTGTGCAGCATCTTTGGGAGGTTTGGCTTCTGTTGAGGCCCAGGAATGAAGCAGCAGGTCAGACACCCCAGAGCAGGGTGTCATCCCCAGCAGAGCCTGCTGGGCTGGTTGGTCAGGCTGACCTTTGAGACGCAGGGAAGTATTTCCTCCTTGAACTGCTCTGCAGAGATAATGACTTTTTTAATAGATTTCCTGTTCTTTTTATAGACCAAGGGAAGCTGGCAGATCACATCCAAACTGGCTATAGTGAGAGCTGGGCATGGTTATGTTTGCTGGAAAACCTGATCCTCTCTTTACCCATGTTTTGCTTTGGTCTGCTCTGAAGCATCACATTGGGATTCAAACAGGCTTCAGTGGGGCAAAGAGGAATATTGGGAAGTGTAAAACAGTGATTTGTAGGTGCATGGGAACAGCCCCAAGACCTGAACTGCCCTATGTTCTGATCAAAGGTCCAGTGGTGACTCCAGCAGTGGCAGGAGGAGACAACACGTGGGCCCAGTCCCTCCTGGCATCTGCTCCCTGTGGACTTCTCCAGCATCCACCACTGTTATGCTACAGTTAGAGGGCACATTCTTCTCTCTTGCTTCTGCTGTCTCTTCCTCTGTCTGTTGTCCATAAAACCACTTTGAACCCATGGATACTCCCTGCCTCCCACATCCCAGGGAGGTAGAGATTCACTGGTCCCCAGCACAGAAATTCACTTCTCATCAGCCCTGGGGGGTTTTCCTGGGCCACAGTAGGACAAGTATTTTATGTCAGCTCCTAATGAATCCCTTGTGAGCAGCCTTCAGGACACTCTGCACCTCTGTTTCCCTAAGTTGCTCCAGCTCATTTCGAGAGAGTGATGGAATTCCCAGTGTTGGGAGCACGGATTCAAAGTCCACCCACCTTCCCAGCAGTGACCAGGCATTTACACCCTGTGTTACAAAGTGGAGAGTTATCACTTTGTTCCTGGAATTCCATCTGCAGTTATCTCCAAGCTGTTAATCTGACTTTCCCTTCAATTAACATTCCTCTCCCTTTCTCTCCCTGTCCCGCCACAGATCTGGGCAGCCAGTGATAGAGATCCACCTGATAAATCCTCTCCTCGGCTGATTGCCTTTACCATCACCTGGGCATCTCCATCCTCTTGCCAGGCACTTTCCTGTGCCACCCTGGTGCTGCTCACATCTCCACAGAGGTGTCCACTGAGGCCCCCAGCCCTGAGATCCTCACCCAGCACACAGGGACAGCACCCAGACAAACCTGCAGCTCCTGCCCCTCTCTTCATCTCCTTCTGTCCCAAGTGAGCCCCCTCTGTCCAGAGGGTACCACCCCTTCCCCTGCCCCAGCTCCCTCCCCCCACAGCCTCCCCTCCCTCCCCACAGGCACAGAGCAAAGAGGAGACCAGAGCAGCCACGTGCAAGTCCCTTGGGAAATTTTTCTTTTAATGAAATCTAATATTCCTGTTATAAATGACCAGCCTGGAATCCAATTAAATTCTTTGTCTCAATGACTTCTTATCATATTAACATTTCACTGACCGTCTCCTTATCCCTGGCCATGAGGCACAGAGAGCAGGACCCCTGCTCCCTCTCTCCAGGCCTTTTAGGAGTTCTGTCACATCCCTTTGGACAGCCTGCCCTGGCTGAACAGGCATTTCCAGGTGCCTCTTCCAGCCTGTGCAGCTTTAGGACTCTACTTGTGCCCAGATCTGCATCCAACCGGGACCCTGGAGATGCTCTTCATGCTGCTCCATGATTTCCCCCTCCAGAGTCCTGATGTCCATCTGTTTTTCTGGCTGCAGCTGCCCCTGAGCAGGAATTTTAGGTGACTATCCTCTGGCCATTGCAGTGAAATCAGCAGAGGTTGCTCCTTTTGCCAGGGCAGGATTGGAAAAACAGGCAAAGCCTGGAACAACACAATGAATGGCTGAGGAACAGAGGTTTGCTGGGTTTGGGGCCAGAACATACACCTGGGACACCCCCAAACCTGGCACTGGCTGGCAGGGACACACATCTGCACTCCCAGGACACAGAGCTCAGGGCTAGGCTGAGCCTGGGGCAAGGGCTGTGTGCTCAACTCCTCCTAATCCAGCTGTGTCAGCTGCCAGGATGGGATGTGCCACCTCCAGCTCTGCCCACACTGGGGGAGGGATCTCCAGGCACATGGCACTGCCCAGCCCTGGTCACAAACTGGGGGCAGCCTGACAGCAGGGGCAAGGTGAGCCCAAGCTCCCAGTGAGCCAGGTTGTGGAAGCCCAAATGCTTTGGGATGTGGGCATCTTGGACCATATTTGCTGGCAGAAATGCTGGTGTGGCACCAGTTTCAGAAATAAGGGAGTTCAACCTGAGTCTGCCAGGAGGAGGTTCCCTATTTCCTGAAGGAATCAACCCTCAGCCCTGAGCACAGTTCCCAGAGCTGCAGCTGCCTGGTCCTGGGTGACAGGGGACACATGTCCCTTGTCATGCCCTGCTGGGTGTCTGCTGATCTGCAGCTGCAGGGTCTGGGCCCCTCTGCCTCTGCTGTGTCTCCTGATGCTGTGCAGAGCTTCCAGCCTGTCTGGCAAATCAGGGAGCTGGGAGGAATTGTGGCTCCAGGATGTTGCAGAGGCTGAAAGCACAAACTGATCCGAAAAAGGGGGCAAAAGAGAAGGAGGTGGCTGTGTTGGCTCTGTCAGTGGCTGTTAAACAGGGGGCTGAGCAGCCTCTGCCTTGGCTCTGAGCTGCAGTTAGCTGGGCACTAACCAGGAGAAGGACTGTTGTCTGCACATCCCATTCCTTGTGCTTCCTCCAGTGCTCCTTGGGAGCTGTTGGTAGATGTGGGATATTGGGTTAGAGGAAGCTGAGGGCTTTCATGGGCTTCCTCTCATCAGCAGCTGAGGGAGGCTATCAAACCCTGTCTGTCTGAAACCAAACACATTCAGATTCTCTCCATGCACCCCCTGCCAACCTCCCCACCTCCCACAGCATCTGGAAGAGCAGCAGGGATGCCTCAGCTTCCCTGTGGAGGTGCAGACTACAAAGGGCAGCTTGGTGGGGTCTCCTCTTCTCTGTTTCTCTTTGCTTCTGAAGCACTGACCACATTCTCACCCCACAGCAGGGGCCAGGGCCTTTGAGCCAGTGCTTGCTGTGCTGGGGGGGTCCCACCAGGCTCAGGATCCAGATGGGATCAGCACTTCTGGAATATCAGCCTCTCATCAGTGCCTGAACCCTGGACATTATGGGCCTATTTATATCAACCCAGATCTCGCTGTCCAGACTGAGCCCAGCTCTTCAGACTGAGAATTTCTGTTCCAAATTTGTCTTTTAAAGTAATTCCAGCTTGCTGAAAATACAAAATGAAACCAAATCCATGCAGGAAGGACCAGTGCTTTCCTTGGTGAATTGTCTCAGGCACTCATTTATTAAAGGCAGGGTGGAGGTAACAAACATGTCTCTCTTGCCTGTGGTCCAGTTCTGGTGGCACCAACAGGCTGATGGTTGGGGTTCAGGGGTGGCTCTGACAAACACCACCAGTGCAGATGGACAGACGTTGTCAGACAGCTCTGGCCCTGCAGGCCTTGGGGAACAGCCTTCCTTAAACACCCAGAACACGATGGTTGTGATGCTGCTCCTCACTCTGACCCTTTGGAGCAATAAATACAGCCTGGGAATGCCCCACACTGAGCACAGAGTGAGCTCCAGTGGCCCAGCAGTTGTGACAAGTCAGTGGACCCCTCACTGAAAGAAAGACATTGAGGGGCTGGAGGGTGTCCAGAGAAGGGCAACAGGGGAAGGGCTGGAGCAGCAGGAGCAGCTGAGGGAGCTGGGGGGGCTCAGCCTGGAGAAAAGGAGGCTCAGGGGGGACAATTCTCTACAACTACCTTAGAGGAGAGCGTAGGCAGGTGGGGGTCACGAAGTGACAGGACAAGAGGAAACGGCCTCAAGCTGTGCCAGGGGAGGGTCAGGTTGGACATCAGCAGGAATTTCTTCCTGCAAAGGATGGTCAGGCCTTGGAAGAGGCTGCCCAGGGAGGTTTGGAGTCCCCATCCCTGGAGGTGTCTAAGGAAGGCCTGGCCGTGGCACTCAGAGCTCTGGGCTGGGGGACAGGGTGGGGATCAGGCACAGGGTGGACTCCATGGGCTTGGAATTCTTTTCCAACCTCAATAATTCTGTGATTCTAGGAATGACAGGAATGTTCTGGCCATGGGCATCATGTCTGGTTTCCTAAGCTCTGATGATGTGTACTGCCCATTGTGGTGGCCTCTTCTGATACAAAGTGATCTGGAACTATTTTGTCCTGCTTCTCCTCTTCACTACCTCAGGATGAACCACATCTGGCCTCTCAGTTTCTCCACCCAAAACTGCATTTTGCAGCAATGTTCACACCAGCCTGGCTCTCACTCTGCAGTCAGATGGCTCCTCTCTGCTGATGTATCTTGCAGAAGCTCCTGGGTGGAGCCAGGTAACTGTGGAGCTTTGCTTTAGCCCAGGTTACTTGGGAGCTTTGCTTTACCCACCATGTGCTGTTGGGTCACTCACTGACCCAATGACACAGAGAATTTTGAACTGCCTTGCTGGGCTCAGCTGGAAAATCCTTCTCCCTTTTTTTCTGACATTACTTGGATGAAATACAAAGTTCATTTTGACACTGGAAACCATGTAGGGAAGAGACTTACTGGGATGAAATCCTCTAGGAGAGTACAAGAACATGTTTCTTTTTATGGCTAATCAGCACAGCTTGGTAGAAGGGAGGGGAACCTTTCCAGGAAGGTCCTGGGCTGCTCTCAGCGGTTAAAGAAGAAGGACTTGAGGCTCTGTAGAAACTGTGACTTCTGTCTCTGCTTCTGCTTCTTCCTGATGATGGGGATCCACACAAGGCCACAAACAAGCAGCATCAGCCCCAGGGACAGGAAAGCCGGGCCAGACATTTTGAAAATGTTTTTCTCATCTTTCAGGAAGCAGGAGAGGATGATGATGACCGTCCCGAAGAGGAAGAGGGCTGCTCCAACAGACACCACGATCACAGGCTTGTGGTAGACCTCCCACTTGCTCCTGGAGGTGCTGGTCCAGATGGACTCGCTGCGGGAGCTCATGCAGAGGGTGCTCCCCGTGCGACTGGTGATCAGCTCCCTGGAGGGAGGAGACCTCTCACTCCCATCAGGGCTCTTGGGGGGGATTTCCATGGTGGTGGGGTCTGAGGAGGTGACCTGTGATGGACAAAAGAGAAAGCAGAGCCGGGCAAGTGACGGAGGATGGAGGTGCTTCCCTTTTGGTCACCAGTGAGTGCAACTCAAAGGGAGGTGGAGGAGGCTTTGTGGGTCACTGCAGGGCACGAGGAGCATCACACCTGTGAGAGCAATGAAATGTAGGAGCTGGCAATGGGGGCCTGCAGGTAGGCTGGACAGAAGATGCCTGTGAAGTCCCACTGCCCAGCCATGGATAGTGGGACTCCTGCAGTCCCTGTCCCTGTCCTTACACCTTCCAGCTCAGCAGCTCCCAGCTCGCACAGGAATTCAGTGGAACCCACTACCTTGAACCTCCCCGGGCTCTTGGCTGCTTCCGGGGGAACAGCAGGGTGCTGCAGGCAGGGCTGGTGATGCTGGCTCTGTCCTTGGACCTGCCTTCCCTCCCAGATCCCAAATTACACCCCAGCACCTCGTGACATGGTCGTGTGTCCCTTTTGCAGGTGGAGAAGCTGAGACACAGGAGTGTCATGTCAGGAACACTCTGTGGGACAGCAGAAAGCCCCTTCCCATGGGCTGAAGGTTCCTTCAGACCCCCAGGGCTGCATATTCCTCGCTGCCACACCCAGCCTTGTTGCAGCTGCAGCGCAGGAGCTTCTCACTTCCACCTAAATGCTCAGATGGGAGGTGGCAAGTCCTGGTCCCACAGGAATTATTTCTCCAGCTGTGAGCTGGGGCAGGTGCCGTGGGAGGGCTCCTGAGCTGGGCAGGACACTGAAATGCCCTGCCCTGGGACAGCTGGGTCAGCAGTGTGGCTTCTGGCACATTAGTTTTTCATCAGCTCAAGGGGTAAATACATTTTTCCAGAAATAAAGTGCCTTTAGCACTGAGAAAACATTATGGGAAATGGGAAGGGCTGAGCATAATGGTACCCACTGTTTGCTCAGGGCTCTGCTGAGGACACTGCAGGGATCTGGACTGGGAAGTGTTCCTGCTGCTGGGAAGCCCAGCAGGGATGAACCTGTGCAGATGCCAGGGCTGAGGAGGGCAGGAGAGGGACGTGGATGCTTCACATCGAGGAATCAGATTTGTTTTTGCAAAGCCAACTCCTGCCTGAGCTGCCAGGCTTCCTCCCGGGGGCTCAGTGGTGTCAGGAGGGCTGGGACTGCCCTGTCCTCTGCTGGGACCACCCTTGGGGCAAAGGGGTGCTCTGCAAAAGCCTGGAGCATCTCCCTTGTGCCAGCACCACCCAGCAGAGCCTGGTGGTTGCTGCCAAGCCCAAGCTGTCCCCACGGGGCTCCCCTGTGCCCCCCAGCAGCCACATCCACGCTGGCCTGGGCACAGGACCCCAGTGGGGCTCTGTGCCCTCTGCACTGCCAAGCACAGCTCTGCCTGAGCACCACACGAGCTTTGAGCCTAAGTGGGCTTGATCCTGAGCAGGTAATTTAATATCCTGCTTTGGGCTCCATTTGCCTGGGTGTTTGCTCAGCCCAGCCCTGCTGCTGGCCCATGGGGTGGCTCTCCAGGAGCTTCACATCACAGCTGATCCCAGGCTGGATGTGCACCCTGCCTGTGGCTGCAGCAGGTGTGGAGGGGCAGCCCCAGCTCTGTTGCCATTGCTGCTGATCAATGTGAGAGCAAACACCACCTCAGTGCAGCCACACAGGGCTGGCACAGCTTCAGAGGCACCATCTGAAGGAAACCTGCCCATATTCCAACCCTACTGGGCCCAGTGCCCATCTGTGGATGCTGATGGCTGGGTGCCAGCCAGCACCTCTCTTACTCTTTCACCTGTGTCCCTATCAAGGTTTGTGGCTCTCTCTGAAAAGAGACAGATGTAATTTCTCAGTTTAGTGCCCCCCAGCACAGACACTGTGGTGACCCAGCTGTCACAGGGCAGGGCACTTCAGTGTCCTGCTGCTGCCCAGCTCAGGAGCCCTCCCACAGCACCAGCCCCTGCTCACAGCTGGAGAAACAACTGGCAGTATCCATGTATTTTGGGATGTTTCAGGTTTGCCAGACCAGGGCCAACACGCAAAAAATGAAAGCCAAGAACAATGGACAACATTTACATCCCTCCTGTCTTCAGTTTTCACTCCTCTCTGTTGGAGCAGGAAACACAGAGAGAGGAGGTGACACATTTCTGCCATCTTGGTATAGAATCCCAGAATCCCAGAATCACTGAGGTTGGAAAAGCCCTCCCAGCCCATGGAGTCCACCCTGTGCCTGATCCCCCCCTTGTCCCCCAGCCCAGAGCACTGAGTGCCACGGCCAGGCCTTCCTGGGACACCTCCAGGGGTGGGGACTCCAAACCTCCCTGGGCAGCCCCTGCCAAGGCCTGACCACCCTTTGCAGGAAGAAATTCCTCCTCATGTCCAACCTGACCCTCCCCTGGCACAGCTTGAGGCTGTGTCCTCTCCTCCTGTCCCTTGTTCCCTGGGAGCAGAGCCCGACCCCCCCCGGCTCCCCCCTCCTGTCAGGGGGTTGCAGAGCCAGAAGGTCCCCCCTGAGCCTCCTTTTCTCCAGGCTGAGCCCCCCAGCTGCCCCTCCTTTTCTAGTGCAAATCCTCCTCTTCTAGTGTCAATCAGACTCCTCCTGAAATGTCACCCTGGGGTGGCATTTTTTGTCTTCGTCCTTGTAACATCTCTCATGGGGAGGTTTTATGATCAAGCCACAGTACAATTTTAATTTGGCTCTGCAGTTGGAAATTTGCTTTATTCTCTGGAATAATCCTCAGCAGCCTAATCCAGGCTGTCTTGTCCCATATTTAGGCACCCCACTCCCTGCTTGCCCATGGGCTGTGTCCTTCCTCTGCACCCAGGGGTGCTCTGAGCTCTGTGCGTTGTGCAGGGGGTTAATGTCAGGCTGAAACCATCATCCCCCTTTCAGCTTTCCATTTCCTCCAGAGTGGATTTATTCCCTCCTTTTATTTTCTGGCAAAGCCACCCTTCTCACCACAATTCCCAGACAATGCTCATTTCTCCAGCACTTCCTGGCAGAGCATCCTTTTTTGGTCACACTTTTCCCATTGTTAGCTGGGGAAGGATTTCACTCCCTGCCAGTGCCTGGGAGCCTGTTTGGAAGCACTGAAAGGATCTGCAGCTCTTGGGAGAGTTAATGCAATTCCAGTTCCTGCCTTGCCCGTGCTCCATCCCTAATTCACCCCAGATGTGCTCAGATTTGATGGTTGGCCTGAGCAGCCTGGCAGCAAAGTGCTATCAGATTTCTCCCAGTTTTTTTAACCACTGTTGTTGGAAGGAGAGAATCAGCAGATGACTCTTTACTGTCCTGTCTCAGATTTCACATCTGGTGTGTCTGCTGTGCTGCTGAAACCCTGGCAGCTCTTGGAGCTGGAGGTAACACTGGGATCTTTCCTTTCCCACTCCATCGGGAAGAGCCTCATGTGATTCTGTTTCTCCCCCCTTTGCTCTCCCAGTGCTTTGTGTGGTGATGTTTGGTCTCTGAACTGGGAAATCTTGGAGTCCTGTTTGCTGGTGCTGCTGGGGACCCCAGTGCCAAAGCACAGCACACCCCTGGGTACCACCTTGGGGACACTGGGGACATTCTGTGGTGGTGCTGAGGGGGAGCTTTGGGCTGAGTAGAGCACCTGAGGGCTCTGTCCCAGGTCCCTCAGCCCATCCCACGGATGCCATTCCTCACCTGCCAGCCCTCAGGAGCAGTTCTCAGCCCTGACATCCCAGCCAGGACCCGGGATGCTGGAAAGAACCTGCAGATGTGACCAGAGCTGTGCCAAAAGTGGGGCAACAGCCCCATCTGAAGACTCTGTCCCTGTGCATAGCCCTGAGCCATCCCAGCCATGCAAGAGCTGGATTTACTGCCCCAGTCCAGTCTTCAGCCTGGCCATCTCCTTTTCATCTGGGGAGGCAGCCCTGATTCTTCAGGAGCTCCTACATCTCCTCTTAAGTCCCCACTGCAGCAGTTCCTGCCACTTGCTCACCCCACTGTGCTTGGCTGGAGACACCAGAGCTCCCCCAGGGAGTTGTGTCCATCTCCACCTGCATCTTCCTCATGGAGACCCCTCTCAGTGTCCCAAAGTGCAGCTGGTCTTTGCCCTGGGACTCAGCAGGTGCCATCCCATGGCAGCACTGGTGGTGGGGCAGGGGTGGACCTGCCCTGGTGCAGAGCTGTGGGTGCTGGTGGGGTGCACAAAGGCTGCAGCTCTTGTCCCGTGTTTCACCACACAAACCACTGAGGGAAAAGCTCAGGATTTTGCAAACCAACCACCAAATACTGCTGCAAATCCAGGCCAAGTTTATGGATAGATTTTGCTGCCTTCTCTGCTGTTGAGCCACTGCCCTGAATAAAGTTCCTCACTCCACTAGGCAGCAGCAGAAACTCCTCTCCTAAACCAGATCCCCCTCCAGCCCCACATCCCTCTGGGAATCAACAGCCTCAGAAAAGAAAATTCTGAGGAAATCCCAGAGTGAGCTGAGCACTCCATGGATGTGGCTGGCCCTGATTCCTGCTGGGGAGAACCAAAGAGACCAACCTGGACTGAGGGCCAGGCTTTTCCTGAGGGCTCAGACCCTGCCAGCTGTCCCCAAGAAGACAAAGCCAGTGAGTCCTGGCACCAGGACCCCAGACTGGTGGGTTTGGGTGGGTGGCAGCTCCAGTGCTGTGGAGAAGTTGGGTGGAAGTCACCTGGACACAGGTGAGCACACACTTCCCCCACCTGCTGTCCAAGCTCTAGATAGTGCCCCACAGAGAGGGACCCCCAGACCCTCCCCTTTGCTCCACAGCTCTCCAGGGTTTCCAGTGGCCTCCAGATGGCTTGTGATGGTCCCCTGGCAAACAGCAGCATCAGGTGCTCTGCAAAGCCTCAGGGAAAGACCCAAAGGGTTTGTTTGTCCTTCAGCCAGAAGATGTGCCCAGTCTGCCACCCTAATGGGGCAGCAAAGTCTTCACTGGTGGGTTCCAGCTGGGAGAAAACTGGGGAATGGAGGAAAACCAAGATGTGCTTTTTGGGGTGTGGCTTTTCCTGCTGCTCTGGAGGGTCTCAGCCAGACCCTTTGATCAGTCCTGATGTTTAAGCTCAGCACAGACCCCCTGAGATGACACTCCTGGTCTGTGTGTGCCAGGAGGAGGTGGCTGCACTCATGGACATGTGCACACACACACTCAGCAGAAACTTTTTGTTAGAAGTCAGTGCTGCCAAATTTAATGGAGAGTGGCTGTCAGTCAGGGTCCCAGGGAGGGACAGGTACATTCAGTGACCCAGCACACCTGAGGGTGGAGGTGGGAACCTGTCCTGCCCGATGCTGCCCCATGAAGAGCATCCCCACAGCCCCAGGTCTGCCTGAGGTACCTGCACATGGGGAGGGGCTGGGGGGCAACAGCTCCCAGTTCCTGTGCCAGGGCAGGGAAGCCCCCAGGAGGGACCAAGTGCTGAGCCCACTCCCCCTGCCCAACCTCTCTGAGCCCATTCACCTTGCTGTGCCCCTCTGAGCCCACTCCCCACACAGTGTCTCTCTGAGCCTGACCCCCATGCTGTGCCCGCTCCCCACGCCGTGTCTCTGATCCCACTCACCATGCCGTGCCCCCCTGGCCCCACTCACCATGCTGTGCCTGTGTCCTGGCTGTCACTGGAGTGTCCTGGCTCGCTGTGGAAGGGGAGGTGGCCACTTGCCCTCACCATCCCCTGAGCACTCCACGGAGGGACCCCCCCACCTGCTCCTGTGGAGACAAGAGCAGCATTTCAGAGCATCCAGCTCTCTGCCACCACGTGCCAGCCCCAGGAGGGCTGGTTCTGCTGGGCTGGGCAGGCTCTGCCCTGGGGGAGGGCAGGGAGGTTGTGCTGGTGCCAGGGATGTGCTGAAGCCCCATGTCCCTGTCCCCCTGGAGAAGGGGGGGCAGGCTGTGGCTGGTGCTGCTCCGAGACCCGGCTTGGGGATATGAGGCAACACATCAGGGGGTTTCACATCACCTACAACCCCGCCAGGTGTCAGGTGTAAATTGAGAAGGAACCAGTGTCCATTTGCTGCTGAAGTGCAGCTGGGCTGGGCCCAGGCCCCTGCATCCTCAGGAGCAGCTTTCCAGCGTCACCCAGAGTTTGGATGGTCCCAGCAGCACGTTCAGGGACTTGCTGAGCAAACAACACCTACGAGTCTTTTTAGGGGCTCAGTGAGAGGGTGACCCCCAGCCTTGCCGTGCTGGATCTCCTCTCCCTTTCCAGCACCCCCAGAGCCAAACCCATGGACACCCATCCTACTTACGTGGTGAGCAGTGAGGGCTGGCTGCAGCAGGAGGTCTCCCTCTCCAAAGCCAGGCTCATCCCAAGCCCCTCATCCCTCTGGGTGTTGTCTACTGGGCTCTGTTGAGTCTAATAAACAATGGAGCATCCCAGCTCCGATGATCTCACCAGCCTATCAGTATATTGCTTAACTCCTTCTTTCCCTGCCTCTGCCTCCTTGAGAGCTTCCCTGGGAGGGTTTGCTAAAAGGTTGTGGTTTGGGAGGCAGGCCAGTGGTGTGGCAGGAGAGGCAGGGCGGGTCGGTGCTGGGAGCAGGAATCCAGAACTTGGGGCTGATGCTGATCCAGACTTGGATCATCAGCAAGTTCCTGAAATGTCTCTGAACTGCAATTTGTGCCCTCTCAAAGCAGAGAATCAGAGCCAGTGACTGCAAAGTGCTTTGAAGCTCATCAGTGAGACATTAGAGGGATGCAAGATATTAGCAATTATCTATTAATTAACATCCTGAGTCCATTATTGGGATGGAAGAGAGAGCTGGTTCTGGAATACTGTTTCCTTTCAGGAACTCACAGCCAAACTTCAATCCCCTCTTACATCAGTGTGAATCCACTTGCCCAGGGAAGGGATCCAGCCTGGATTCCAGACACTGCTGGTGTCCAGGGCCTGCTTCCAGTGGTGGTGGGGCTGCTCCATCCCTGAGGGCCTCTTGTTGGTTTGGTGCAGTGAATAACAGTGTCCAAGGTGCACCACAGCCCTGGCCAGATGGGCTGGGGTGGGATGGGAAGAGGCTGTGGAGCTCCCATGGAGATGGGCATGACCCACAAGGGTGGTCAGCTGGGCACAGAGCATCCCATGGCAGCACTTGGGAATGAAAGGGGGGGCCAGAGGGTCAGGGTGGGGGCTCATCCAGGTGTTGGGAGCTCAGCCAGGAAGGCCAGAACCTGGTTGAGGTGCTTCAGCTCAGCTCTGTGTGGATCTCTGGTCAGCAGTGGTGGGCATGGGACAGGTCATGGAGCTCTTCAGGAAGGGGCAGGGGTGGGACGAGCTCAGGTTCCTCATCCATGGTCCACCCCATGTCCTGCTGGGAGGTGGGTGAGTTCACTGAGCACAATGGCTCTGGAATAATGGAGTGAACTCCACTATCCACTGATCTGGGAACCTGCAGCCAAAGGAACCAGGTGTTTTGGGGGTATCCAGGGAGGATTTATTGGAACAGATGAAAAGATTCTCTAGAATGGGAGAGCTGAGTGGACTTGGGTTCCCCAGTGTAGGTCCAAGGTGGGAAGTTTTCTGACCTAAAGAAGCAATTGGCATAAAAAATAAAATAAAAATAGAGGTGGGAAGGCTTCATTTCAGCACCTGCAGCATCACTTCACACCCTGGTTTTACACCATCTCCAGGCTGAACTGAGATGCTTCTGCCCTGCTGGGGGACATCCTGTGCTTCAGCAGCATCCTGTGCTTCAGCAGCTGCCCCATCACATGGTGCATTTCATGTCATCCCCCCCTTGCCAAGTGCTCCCTGCAGTGTCCCTGGGACCTCGGTCCTGCCCCAGGGACCAAGCAGGGAGAAGGAAGGGGCAGGTCACCAGCCATGGGATGCCAAGGTCACCCGGGCAAGGCACCAGGAGCCGGACATTCCCCAGGGATGGCTGAGGAGCATCCCTGGAGGTACATCCCTCCAGGGCTGGGACACGTCCCGTGGGGCCATCCATGGGCTGGATTGGATGAACGAGCAGGGAATGGCTCCCAGCCCGTCCCGCAGCGAGTATCCCACCCCACCCGGGTTACCCCTGCCCGGGCGGGCTCATCCTGCCCTTCCCCTCGCAGCCCATCCCCGTCCCCTCGAGCCTCCGGCCGCGGCTCCTCCGCGGTCGCTGCTGCCACCGCCTGGGGACACGGGGACACCGGCACAGCCCGAGCCCAGCACAGACCAGGGCCGGGTTCTGCCCCTGGAACGGGACAACGACGGACGGACTGGGAATGAGATGCTGGAAAGCAGTGCCGGGAAAGGGCCCTGGGGGTCCTGGTGGTGCCAGTTGTCCCTGAGTCAGCAGTGCCCTGGCAGCCAGGAGGGACATCCCTGTCCTGGGGCATCAGGGAGGGGATTGTCCCGCTCTGCTCTGCCCTGGGGCGGCCTCACCTCAACATTGGGGCAGTTTGGGAGGACACAATGGAAGGGAGAGATTGAGCCATTAGAGAGTGTCCAAAGGAGGGAAGGAGGATGGGGAAGGGCCTTGATTTGAAACCGTGTGAGGACACTGAGGGCACTTGGTGTGTTCAGCTGGAGAAGAGGAGACTGAGGGGAGACCTCAGTGCAGTTCCACCTTCCTGGGCAGGGGCAGAGGAGGGGCAGGGACTGAGCTCTGCTCTGGGGGGACCAGGGACAGCAGCCAGGGAATGGCTGGAGCTGTGTCAGGGCAGGCTCAGGTTGGATCTCAGGCAAAGGTTCTTCCCCCAGAGGCTGGTTGGGCACTGCCCAGGCTCCCCAGGACCCTGTTCTCATTAGGAGGATCTCCTGAGTTGGAAGGGACTCACAAGGATCACTGAGTCCAACTCCTGGCCCTGCACAAGCCCATCCCCAAGAGTCACCCCCTGTGCCCCAGAGGATCAGCCAAACCCTCCTGGAGCTCTGGCAGCCTTGGGGCTGTGCCCACTGCCCTGGGGAGCCTGGGCAGTGCCCAACCAGCCTCTGGGGGAAGAACCTTTGGCTGAGATCCAACCTGACCCTGTCCTGACACAGCTCCAGCCATTCCCTGGCATCCTGTCCCTGCTCATACAGAGCAGAGATCAGAGCTGCCCCTTGGGAAGAGCTGCAGACCCCAGTGAGGTCTGACCTCAGTCACCTCTTCTTCATCTAAACAAGCCAAATGACCTCAGCTACTCTTCATGTGTCCCCTCCAGGCCCTTCACCACCTTCCTGTCCCTTGTTTGGACACTCTTTAACAGCTTTACATATGCCTTATATTTCTTATATTGGGGTGACAACCAATTTATTCTGCTATGAAAAGGATATGCTCTGCCACAGTCTTTTCTGGTGGGAGAGGAGAGCACTTTCCCATGAATGTGTAACTGCTAGAGGGTATGGCCAGGACAAGGGAGAAGGCCCAGGCTGGATGGAGCTGTGCTTGGTAACCTGCCCAGCTCTTGGGGGTCCTGCAGCAGTAGATGGTGCTGTTGCTCTGCAGAATCACAGGATCACAGAATCACAGAATCAGCGAGGCTGGAAAAGACCTCTGAGATCATCCAGTCCAACCCATGACCCAACCCCACCTTGTCACCCAGACCATGGCACTGATGCCACATCCAGGCTCTGCTTAAACACCTCCAGGGACGGGGACTCCACCCCCTCCCTGGGCAGCCCATTCCAAGGGCTGATCCCTCTCTCTGGGAAGAACTTCTTCCCAATGGCCAACCTAAACCTGCCCTGGGGCAGCTCAAGGCTGTGCCCTCTTGTCCTACTGCTGGTTCCTGGGAGCAGAGCCCGACCCCCCCCGGCTCCCCCCTCCTGTCAGGGAGTTGCAGAGAGTGAGAAGGTCTCCCCTGAGCCTCCTCCTGTCCAGGCTGAGCCCCCTCAGCTCCCTCAGCTGCTCCTCACAGCACTTGTGCTCCAGACCCTTCCCCAACCTCGTTGCCTTTCTCTGGACCTGCTCCAGCCCCTCCATGTCCTTCCTGAACTGAGGGGCCCAGAGCTGGACACAGCACTCGAGGTGAGGCCTCAGCAGTGCCCAGTCCAGGGGCAGAATCCCTGCCCTGCTCCTGCTGCCACACTGCCCCTGATCCAGGCCAGGATCCATTGGCCTTCTTGCCCCCCTAGGCACCCCTGGCTCCTGTTCAGCTTCCTGTCAAACAGAACTCCCAGTCCTTTCTTCAGGTTAAATATAAATCAACAGCTCAGGAATACTGGATCCATCCCAGGCTTCTGCCAGGGGAACCTGCACCACAAGAAGCCTCTTCCAGACCCTCTTCCCCTCTCCCCAGCAGTGGCAATCTGAAAACCTGCAGTGGAGCTGGGCAGGGTTTGCTGCTGCACAGCTGGACCAGCGACCCTGTTCCAAGGGTCCCAGGACACAGCAGCCCTTTCCCTATTGTTTGTCTCATGGCAAAGGGACCTTGGATATTCCAAAGAGTCACCAGGGAACCCTGAGCAAAGCTGGTGGTGGCCAGTGCCCCACACCTTCCTCCCCTGGGGTGCAACTGAACCCTCACCTCCAGTCATGGCTTGTGTGGCAGCTCTGAAGTCCAGCATGGCTGGGGCAAGGATTTCCTGGGCAATGTCCTGGAGCGTCAGCAATTCCTGTCTGGAGCATCTCAGCACCTGTAGCATTCCCAGGTAAATGCTGTGTGTCCTCAGCCCCTCTGGGCCGAGTCCTGGAGCTGCAGGGAGGGAGCAGCCAGGCCCTGAGCAGGTCTGTGTCACAGGACAGCTTGGCCTGGAGGTGGATGGAGGGGTTTGGTGTGGAGTTTTTTTTCCTTGGCTGTAGAGACAACATTGCAGATATAGTATTTTCCAGTTGGAAAATTCCAAACCTGAAAAGGGAGATGAAGCAAACCGATGTTTTATGTCAAACTATAGTGGAAAATCTAAAAGGTTAATTAACAATTCAATTTCAAGATAGTAAAGGGGCATTTTTGGATATGGAAAATATAGTGGGCAAATGCAGCCCATGAAGGGTGTTCAGCTATATCACAGAAGAAGCCATGTGAGAGGGAGCTCAGAGGGGTCAATGGTCTGTGTGGGGCTTTTGTTTCAGGAGGGTTGCACTGGGTGATCTCCAGAGCTCCCTTCCAACCCCAACTATTCTGTGATTCTGTGAGTTTTGGGCTCCTTTGTGAAGTTTTTGCAGAGCAACAAGGGGGCCTGAAGCATCTTCCAGCCTTGCTCATGGCCCGTGGGGGCTTTCCCAGGCCTCCCAGACAGAGTCATCTCCAGCTGAACATGTGGGAGCCATGCAGGAGGATGAAGAGATCCGTGTCAACCAGGCTGGGCATGGAATGGGGGAATGCAGGCAGGAATCCAGGCAGGGAGAGGTGGCAGGACACAAGTCTGGTGGGAGCATCTTGGTGTTGTTGCAGAAACATGTCATGTCACCAGTGTCATGTCGTGATG